TTCATCTAGAAACCGAACTTTCATTTCTTGGTGGTATGTGCGTATCGACTTTATTGAAATGCGACATCACTCTACCTATCGGTATAAGTTAAATTAATATAGTAAAGAAAATATTATAATAATACTTATGCTTTTTAGACCAACAACAAGAACTTCGTTCAGAATCAAAATCGGCAGCTGACCAAGTGTTCGCTAAGCATTCAAGTTTATTAAAAAAAGGATTTGCATTTGCACCAATAACCGACATTCAAAAAGTTCTGAAAGATGTACTACCCTTAAGGTAAGTACTATTATTACAACACAGTGTTTAATGCTTATAAAATGAGTCGGATTTGTGATTATTGTTCTTTTGTGGAGAACGAGTTTTACTTAAAACTATGCAAATTTATAAACGAAAATCAATGTTGAGATATTCTAGTAAACGTTTAAAGTAATGCATTTCGAATTTCATAATACAAGAGTGGTTGTTAAGTAAAAATCGTGTAACCTTTTGCGCGATTTATGGTTAGAAAATATATATTATTAGTTAACAAGGTCCACGAATTGTCTTTCAAAACAGTATATGTTCGTCTTGGCACTACTAATTGTTTAAACGGATTAATACGGTAATTGAATCATAAGGAATAATCGAATTAGGAAATGACAGGAAGTACCGAGTTCGTCGCAATGCAATAATAATAATTTTATCAGTTCCCCTCAATTGATTTTCTTTATCGTCAATTTTCAGTCTACCATTGATTTTTCGTAAAACTTTCCCCTTTTGCTATATATTTATGCTATTTAGAAAATTGATTACCCTTATAAAAAATAAATCATTGATTTCGTTTTCCTTTCGGAAAATTGTAAAATCTTTATTATTTGTTTCTTTTAATACTCAACGTTTTTCANCTGACTACTATCGTAAAAAAGTTATTAGAGCTATTGAATATCGGAAGTGTAAAAATAAAAAAAGATCATCTTGTATATAAATACTTAGGAGAATCAGCGATGGTAAATATTCTTTTACCTCTAGTGTTAGCACACATTGGACCATTAACTTCATTTTCAAAAGATGCCAAGGTATAAAAATGATTTTAATTTTAATTAAAAATCATAATAATTTAATATTATATAATTACACTAATATATTAATATATAATGATAATCATTAATACTTTAAAATCGTGATTAAAGTATATTTTATTGTCGTATGTTTTTTACAGAGCGCTATCCACGTTTTAGATCTAATTAGAGAGTTGTTACCAGCTGTGACATCTCTAAATTTATTTGCCGCTGACAAGTTAGACGTCTTGCATAAAGATTTGTACGATAAATTAGACAACAGTCCAAAACAAATAATAAAGTCAAAACAACAGACAAGCGAAATCAAGGATCTTAAAGGCATGACTACTTCTCATCATTATGCTTGGGTAGAAAGCAATCATCCTTACAAAGCCGCCACCGTATCGAATTACAAGTATGTTGACTGACGTTTATAATTGTAACTTTACATTAAATTAAACAAAACTAAAATTGTGGTGTTTAGAGTAAAATTTCCAAATGAGGTCAAGTGGTTATGTTTGGAGTTTGATCCACGTAGTTGTACGGCTCAGATAGAAGACTATTTACAACTTTACATTCCCAACTATAGAGACATTAATACAGATGACGACAACAAAAGAGTGGGAACTACACCGTACATACCGGTGTTAAAAAAATTCAGTAATGATCCCTTAGAATGGCCTTTCGCTGCTATTATGTTGCCTGGTAAGTAATTTGTACTTTTACTAAATTTTTTGTTGACGCCATCATATCTTTTAACAGGAAACGAGGTAATGTTTTCTATGGAAACGGCTTCAGACTACATGAAAAATGATAAGGCTTCTCGATACGGATTTCGATGTCTAGTGATTGGATACGAAGCCGAAAAGTTGAGTAAATCCCAAACGATTTGCTATGGTCTGTTTCATCTAGAAACCGAACTTTCATTTCTTGGTGGTATGTGCGTATCGACTTTATTGAAATGCGACATCACTCTACCTATCGGTATAAGTTAAATTAATATAGTAAAGAAAATATTATAATAATACTTATGCTTTTTAGACCAACAACAAGAACTTCGTTCAGAATCAAAATCGGCAGCTGACCAAGTGTTCGCTAAGCATTCAAGTTTATTAAAAAAAGGATTTGCATTTGCACCAATAACCGACATTCAAAAAGTTCTGAAAGATGTACTACCCTTAAGGTAAGTACTATTATTACAACACAGTGTTTAATGCTTATAAAATGAGTCGGATTTGTGATTATTGTTCTTTTGTGGAGAACGAGTTTTACTTAAAACTATGCAAATTTATAAACGAAAATCAATGTTGAGATATTCTAGTAAACGTTTAAAGTAATGCATTTCGAATTTCATAATACAAGAGTGGTTGTTAAGTAAAAATCGTGTAACCTTTTGCGCGATTTATGGTTAGAAAATATATATTATTAGTTAACAAGGTCCACGAATTGTCTTTCAAAACAGTATATGTTCGTCTTGGCACTACTAATTGTTTAAACGGATTAATACGGTAATTGAATCATAAGGAATAATCGAATTAGGAAATGACAGGAAGTACCGAGTTCGTCGCAATGCAATAATAATAATTTTATCAGTTCCCCTCAATTGATTTTCTTTATCGTCAATTTTCAGTCTACCATTGACTTTTCGTAAAACTTTCCCCTTTTGCTATATATTTATGCTATTTAGAAAATTGATTACCCTTATAAAAAATAAATCATTGATTTCGTTTTCCTTTCGGAAAATTGTAAAATCTTTATTATTTGTTTCTTTTAATACTCAACGTTTTTCATAAAATAATTATCTGTTACACATTTTGAATTTTTAAGAAAAGAAAAAATTATAATCTACTTTTCTTCGGTTTATTTTAATATATAAATTAGTGATTCTAGTAATTTGACATCAAACAATCGCTCGATTTGAACGTTTAAAAATTGTTGTTTTATNGTGATTCTAGTAATTTGACATCAAACAATCACTCGATTTGAACGTTTAAAAATTGGTGTTTTATTTTTTTTTTGAGAAGCACTTAATTTTAAATATAACAGTTAATTGATAATTTTTTTTATAAATTTTAAATTTTATTATTTGAGTTTTAAAAATGGAAGTGATAGTTGATATTTTATAAAATATTATAGAAAAACAATTCTTAAGAGTGTTATCTACGTAATTAAATTTGTTGATGCATACTTTTTCACATCAAAGCAATATATTTCTGTCAAATTGGAAAAAAAAATAAGGTTGATATTTTAAAAATACCTTGTAATACACGTAAAACATTTTAAGAGCATCTTGAGTGTTAAAATCTATAAAATATTTTTGAACACCTGTCTTTTGAAAAAGTTTCATGTGGTTTTTTTGCCTTTAGATACCAGGGCGTTATAATATGTTAATGCGATTCTTTTATTCCTCAAATTTTCTTTTTGTTGTACTGCTTATATGTATTTATTACATTTTCTGTTTGACGTTTGTAACTACTAAAAATTTTATTTTAAGAATGGTTGTTACATTTAAATTTTTTACTTCAGTTATAATATTTGAATTTTAATTGATTTTAAGTTTTATTTTTTCTCATAAAGTATTCATTGAATGAGGTCTTAAACAGTCACAAACATCAAAATATTTTAATTTTTTTTGGTTTCAAATCGCATATACTATTTGTATTTCCGTCTAGAGTTTTTGTTTTAAAAACTATTTCTTTTACTAAATTTTTTACTGCAAGAATTGCCATAAATGTTTGTTTACCTTGAAAATCGTATAAAAAAGTGTTTCTATTTTTTATATCTGTATTTTGAGTATGTCTTCTTTTNTAAAGTATTCATTGTATGAGGTCTTAAACAGTCACAAACATCAAAATATTCTAATTTTTTTTGGTTTCAAATCGCATATACTATTTGTATTGCCGTCTAGAGTTTTTGTTTTAAAAACTATTTCTTTTACTAAATTTTTTACTGCAAGAATTGCCATAAATGTTTGTTTACCCTGAAAATCGTATGAAAAAGTGTTTCTATTTTTTATTTCTGTATTTTGAGTATGTCTTTTTTTCCTTATGATCTCTATTGTTAATAAATTTATTTTAATAAAAATTGTATATATATAACTGAATAGAAGTAATCAGCATTTTAATTTACTTTGTCTCAGAAAAAAATGTTTTATATTATAATTTTGGCATTGATATCTGTTATATTTCAATAACGACATAACTTATAAAACATAAATTTTATAAAAAAAATATTTTGGCTACAAACCATTTTTTTTTGAAAATTCAAATTTATTAATAATGTTTTTTTTTTAAATTTTAATTACAAAAGGATAATTAATATAGTTTATTGAATTAAAGTAAAACCAACAATTCTTTATTGAAAAATATAAATAATCATAGAAATCTCTTCAATTGAATATTGATTAATTTAATATATTCAATACGATATATTTTTTACGCTGTACAATTTCAGTCATTCGGCTAAAAAATAAAACAATACAAATCCAAAAAACAATACCTTATGATTATTTGAATAATTAAATAAATAATACCTTATTTACAATTTAATATAAAATTATGGTATTGTTAAGAATAAATTCTTATAATTTACAAGGGGAAATGGAACANAAGAATAAATTCTTATTATTTACAAGGGGAAATGGAATAAAACAATAATTAATAGTAGGAGAGTTTACATTATCATTATAATTATTATAAATCACTGGTTAAAGGTTGAATTCTTTGGTTGAAACTTGATCGACATAAGCCCTCTGCTGACCCGGNAAAAACAATACCTTATGATTATTTGAATAATTAAATAAATAATACCTTATTTACAATTTAATATAAAATTATGGTATTGTTAAGAATAAATTCTTATTATTTACAAGGGGAAATGGAATAAAACAATAATTAATAGTAGGAGAGTTTACATTATCATTATAATTATTATAAATCACTGGTTAAAGGTTGAATTCTTTGGTTGAAATTTGATCGACATAAGCCCTCTGCTGACCCGGCTCGTTCTACAATCACGTGTAGTTCTGTTTCGCGGTAAGTCTTTCCCTCGGGCATAACCATCATATGATGGCGTGTATTACTTCTGTCTTGTCTAGACCTATTTTTTAATATCGAGCGTGTTTTTATCGGTGATGATCCAGGCACGTTGGTCCACTGACTTCGTTGCCGTCGTTTATACCACGTCCAACATACCAAGGTAGCTGTAAGAGCTATTACGGCTAACACAGCTATACCTGTCATATGCATTGCACCCATACCGCTACTTCGAGCATCTGCTATTCCACCTACGCAATTAGCTTCTCCGTGTTGTTTAGCTTTGATCAACCTACGTTGTCCATCCTCGACCAACCAGCACCATGATACTTGCTCGACTAAGTTTCCGGGTCGGGTGGTATCTTGCGGGTAATGCCTTGAAAACGCTACCATATTATCTCGCCATCTGGTCGAGCAGTCACATATTTTTCCCACAGTAAGCCAATCAAGTCGTGGCTTAAACCCTGCAGTGTCTATTACAAGCGCGTCGTCCTCAAAGTCCACCACGGTGTTATTCTCGAAAACGAATTCTTGGTAGTCCTCTTCTGCAATTTTATGCGAATCTAGTGTAACAGCAACAAATGCACCTCGTTCAATTCTCTCAAACCAATTGTCTTCTATAAATGCTGGACCTCGGCAAGTCACTTCAAAAGCTGTGCTTTGCACGCAAGAAGCTCGACATTCCTGCACCCGGAACATTTTAGGCCCGTGCACTTTAAACGCATAGCTTCTTATTAGACCGAAATCTACGCCTTCTACGCGTAGTTCGTCTGTTACCGTTATTTCAGTGAGCATGCGACTGGGTACGGCTTCTTCAAAACTGGAAGACTTTAACACAAAATCTTTGACGGTAAATTTTTTAAACGACTGTTGCTCTACTAAACCGAAAACAGTGTCTCGGAACTCGATTCGCGCAGTTGTACCGTGTAAGCTGCTGAAAGCGAACGGCTTTATAATGTTAATACGGCCACGCATGAATGCAATTGACCGCAAACGACCGCGAAAAGCGTAACTCGGTAATTCCAACACAGTCGTGTTAATAACGGTCACTGATAAGCCTTGTTGATGATGATGTTGAGTACTAGGAACGACCATCTCAGACCAGCTGAATGCTCGTTCAGATACTTCCAGTTGGCGCACAGATCCAATTTCGACTGTGTACAGCGACTTTGCTTCGTCAAACGCCATCGGCATTACCATTACTCGATCACAATTAATTATTGATACACTGGTTGCAATCCTAGGAATATGTCCCACTCCTTGAGCTTTCAAAACTATCTCCTAAAAACATAAAAAAAAATAGTTTTATATTTGCTTGCATAAATATATTAAAAGGCATTGGTTGATAAGAACTTCAACACCGTCGCGTAATAAATTATTCTGAAATTTAGGGCGTTATAAAAAGTTAGAATAAGATTGTTTGAACCGCTGCTTAATCCTTTTGTCGATTTCGTTGAAGGATGTTTAGGATTTTCGGGAACGGAGCACTTAGTCTGGCTCAAAGTTTATACAACAAAAATACTGTGGCGATCGTTACATTGTTGTAACTGCCTCGGCCGACCTTTAGAGTTCTTCCGGACGACAATTCCGAGGGGGCCGCAACAATATATTATGTGCGGCGGAAGTTGATTGTTTAATCTCTTCCATTTGTCTCTCAGTATTTATACTCGATTCGATCTTACGCATTTGGGATAACCGCTTGGGATTTATATAATAATAATTATTAATACATCCGTTTATCCTTGAAGTTTTATTTTCCATTTCGACAGCGTTCACAACTAACGATGACATATATGCGGTAGCAAATAGATGCTTTAGAACCCACCTCTTTTTCCTAACTCATCGATCTTCTACTCTGTTTATTCTCTTTTTCCCTTGGGTTTCTGTTTTTTTTTTTTTACGAACTACTGTCGTTTGTTAATTAAAAACAGTTTTGTGAATGCCCGTTGTCGTAAAACCGAAAAAATATCATATACGTTTGTTAAAAAAATCATTTTAAGAAGAACTATTTCCTGTGTATTTATGGTTCATCTCAAAAGCTTAATGATTTACCTGCGTTATAAAAACTAAAAGTCTCGATTAATTAATATTAAAAAACAACATCTATGGTAATAATCTTTTGAATAGAAGAAATGGCGACACTTGACATAAACAGTGAGGCTTACACGCGATAAAGCAATTTGGAAGTTCAAAAAACGATAAAATGTAGTTTGTGCTTACTTGTGGTTCTTGAGGGGCGTTCCTACACGAGCACTTGACCTGTGACTGCGTGTCATCGCAGTGGCATTGCGGCGTGTCGCACAAGCTGTTGGCCAAAGTACCGTGCAGTGTCAATAATTGCAGCAGCACGGTGACGAACAAGGTGGCAGCAAACAACGTCGTAGCCGTAAGACGGCTGCATCGACGCCGCTTCATAGTCGTCGTCCGCGTCCGCCGTAAACTCTGCGGCCACCGTCATCGCGATCGCGCGACCATTCCGCCAAACTTCTTCCTCGTCAAATCACTTGTTTCGCTCTTGTCGTCTTCTTTGATCATCAATTTCAGTGTCTAAACAAATAAAAAATGATCAATTTTCGGAACATGCGTTTAACAGAATGAATTTTGTTGTGTCATTGAGTAGTAATTAATATCTTTCAATGCAAGCCAAACCTAATAAATATGCGCCATAAAGACTATCTTATTTATTATTATGCGGTGAACGTACAAAATTAAACGCGAGTTCCGCCCAGATAAGATTACAGAAGAAAAACAACTTAGTAGGCGTTAATGGTTAATTAAAATGATTATCTCTTTCGCATGGTTTATAATGTAGACATTTATAATAGCGTGTCATTTTCGAGACAAAAAAATCTAGCTACTACATTGTGTTTTTTCATAAAAATGTATAACGCTGTATTAAATTTCCCTACTTTGAAATTGACCGAATTGTAACGCTTTCCAGTAGTTTATCAACTGTTTAATAGTGTTCTCTTATTATTAGAAAAATAAAAAAAAATGCTATTTAATTTCCGGCTAGAGATCGAATATAGAGAAAGGAACGGGATTCTAAGTCTGTCGACAGGTTTTCTTTAGTACCTACTCTAAATGTGACCGCAATACGTTAGCCGTGTACCGTTCACGACCAAAAACCAATTATAGTGATCGATATTTGTTTTTTATTAACAATTCTCGAAGACACTTTTCTTTTTAATCAATAACGTAGAGTAAAAAGAACACTCTGATACGACAGTAAATTTTTTTACACATTTTAAATCGTTTGTTATTTTTGAATATTCAACGAAAATGAAAAAAGGGTAACAAACATTTGAAAAGACTTGGCTAATTGTTAATAATTCTCTTTGGTGTATTGCGTGAAAAAACAACACTCAACTTTGACAAACCCTTTGAACACCTCTGACCCTTGACCCGAATAAATCGCGTTGCCTTAGACCTGGAAGGTAAAGTAAATAAAATTCATAATAATTTACAACAATCAAGCCTTGTACAGGAGTTCAAGTAAACCTTACGCATAACGTTGGCCCATTCCGTTGAGAAGTATTTTGCTATGGTTAAATTCCATCGTAAAGTAAAAAAATGAGGATTAAGTCGTACCGTCGCTGCGTTCTAAAAAATAAAACCCTCTTAAATAATTGCGGCATTAAATCGCAGTCCTAAAATAATATGTAAGTATATATATATATATATATATATATATATATATATATATATAAAAAAAGACATGATCCACACAAACTCGGCTGGATTTATAGCATTTGGGATAACAAAAAAATGTGACGACAGTGCCAACCAACCTCCAGTGATAAAATCGGTTTAGACTTTTTTTTCATTTTTTCTATTTTAAGTAGACACCGCATTTCACTGTCCAAATCAAAGTCGTATTTGCTTCAAGTATCTATTTAAACAATTCGAACAATAATGATTTCAAAAAATAGAGGGGAATACCACCGTATCGAATTTCTTTGTGTTAATCTGTCGACGACAGAATTACCTTTGTCGTTTGATAACAACACCGGTCGTCGTATGTATAATAGTGTGTTAATAGCAGAGTCGATTCGTTAGGGTTATGGCCAGAGGGGAATACCATGAAATTGGCGTTCCGAGAAAAAACTGAACTGCGGCGTAGTTGAAGAGATTCATAATAAAATAATGCTCTTAGACCATCCAAAGAGACAATAATTTTCATTTTGTTTTGTTTACTCTAAAGGAAAAAAATCACGTAATGTTTACTTGGCGGCCATAGTTCTCTTCTCCACTAATGGATTTCTCCGTAAAAACATTCATTCCATTTTGCTTGCTTGTCTACAAACTCTCGCTATTATTATTATTTTGATAAACACACATAGCGCCACCGAGGCACGCGACCCGTTCAGCATATAATAATTAAAATTTAAAATGCGTTAATGTTATTGTTTTTATCAGTCGGCACACCCAAAGCTGATAAAAAGATGATTCGCTAAAATCCCCATTGTTTCTTATCATATTTTGTTATGCTTAAGTGTTCGTGCGCTCGTATTGCACAATAATTATTTGTCGGTATTCTTTAGAATTTTGCCGCGACCCTATAAAAACCACCTTTAAGATCAGTCTGTACTCGACAGTGTTAAAATAAAACTATAGCGTCGCGTTATATGCTTCTCGTACGTGTCTTATCAAAAAATAAACGAGTTCGGTGTGTATTTTATAGATAAAAGAAAATATAATAACTTAAGCATTGTCGAGCGTATATATTTATTATGTATTATATACCATGACCTAATTCTAGTACTTATACTCGTATACTTTTTTTTTTGCGTGCTCTTCACTGAATATCTGCTTGTACTTATGTATTGATAAACTCCGCCGTTACTCTATTAAATATAATTGCCCCTAAGAGGAGGAGGAAATACCGTGCTCTCGAGGCAATATATTTTTTAGCGTTTTTTGTTTCGTGTCAAGTTATATCGAGAGAAGGGAAAAGTAAAGCTTTGCAGTACAATATACACACACAATTATTACAACTTTAACTGCGGTGTTATTAATAATTATTGTTATTATTCGCACAGAGTTTGTAATACAAAAATGTTTCGACTCCGCTAAAGTTACCGTACAAAAAAACCGACCTCTAGCTCAAGTTAGTATTAACTCAATGGTACTCTGTACTTTATACTAGACGCACCCCCCACTGGATAATTAATCACCTTGTCGTCCGCATCTTTCCAAAGTCGTTACACGGCTAGCAATTAAGACGGTTCCTGCATTTGTTTTTCATGTGGTGGTTATGTAATGTGTTATCGTGCAGTTATTTGCTACTTGCTGTACTTCCATAAGGTCTTCTGCCGTTCTACGTATGTACACTCACTTTGAAAAGTTTCAGACGGTAAGGTTATTATTAATATTAACCGCAGAAATAGTTGCTCCGATGGTGCTTAGTGGAGGTTTGTTGTTTTAGGGATGAAATTCAATTTTTTCAGATCAAAACAGATCAAAACNATGAAATTCAATTTTTTCAGATCAAAACAGATCAAAACGGCAGCAGTAGCGGCTATACAATTTTTGGTTTACCTCGAGGAAATGTATTAATATTAAAATCATCATCGCCGCGTAATGTTAGTCTAAAATCGAGAAAGCGCTCGAAAAGTTTCGTCGAGTTTATCGTATTTTAACAACATTCGTGTAAGTTAGACTAAAGAATGGTTGAAAAGGAGCAACCCAACAGTTTTGTGTATTGAATAATCACTGAAGTTAACCTATGTAAACTCTAAAGGTGCCCGCGGTTTCATGTTTTTTCATTATATACATCGACTGATTTTAATTACTTTTTTCTTTTCTTTCGCTGTTATTTTCTATGGGGTCAACAAAAGGGCGCTAAATAAAAATTTCACGAGAAAAATTAATCTAGACACCTCGTCAAAAGTTTCTTATATTTCTTATTTTCTTTATTAATCCTCTAAAGACGGTAGGTAATCTTATCTCAAAAGACAGTACATTCCCGCCAGTCAATCGGATGGTCCACCCGAATTTTATCAATAATTAACCCTAAAAATAATATATTTAGGATTTTTCAATGAAGACAAAGTACCCTTTTTGACGCTAGATTTTTTTATTACTTTTATAAAATGTAAAAATTAAAAAAACTGACACGTGACGTAAGATGGCCAATGACAGTCAACTACTATAATGATAATGTTAAAAAACCGTTTTATATCATTTATCGAATCACTGCGACGAATTTTAGTCCGTTATAAATTTATAATATCACGTAAAAGCACAATGTAGCGTCCAATGATTAATGAAGGGCTTGTCGTTGCTACAATGGAGGAATTGATATGGCAATAACGGTGTTATAATGGGTTGTTGAAAATTCTAAATTATGTAAAAAAAAAATACATTACATCGACAATTATTAAAATAAATTTAATGGATTACGGTGATTTTATCGAATAAGTGTCGCATTATGTTTGAATTCTTTACTGGATTGTAGAATCAGTAAAAAGTAACACGTATTAATAATACTTAATTAAGCCATCTATTTAGTTGTTTCCTTGTATTATAAAAATATCGAATTTAAATATTTTATTATATGACCTCGAGCGAGACCTATATACACGTTCGCGGTGTAAATGTCAGAATTGAAGTGACCTGTACCTACCAATAATGATTTATTCCAATGTTAAAATAATCACTGTGTAATAAAGAAAAAAAATAGATATTTTGTAAAAAAAAAAAAACTGATGCACTTCGCGAGTTTTTTTTATTCTCCACACGTTTTCGAACAAACTGCAAGTATCGAACACTGAAACGACCAGAACAGCCAAACGTTGTCGGAGCACTGATAGCGTTGCTTGTTGTGTGAGCGCAGCCGGTGGAGTCGACCGGCGGCGCCCGGTTAGTTTTCCCTACCACGACTTATCGTGTCCTTCGTTTGAACTGTTTCAAATAAAACTGGAGGTGCAGAAGCTATTTGTTAAAGTTATAATAATAATAATTTTTCCTTAAATTAAAAAACACTTTTTAAATAATTTTTCATCACACTTGCCGCTAGCGATTATATTGCCTGCAATTAATACACAATATATTGCTATTATTATTATTATTTCTTTCAATTTTCTTTCTTTGCCGCTCCCGTGCGGGTAACTGTGGATTTCCGACTGTTTGGGTAAACATTTTGTGTTTATGTTGCTGTTTTTCTTCCGGTTAACGATTTTGAAGGATATTTTGTATTTTTATTTATGTTTATATAAAGAATGTGCGCGCTAAAAGAAGAATTGAGGCGGCGGAAATCCGTCGAATGTCAAAAGTCGTCGTCTCTTTTTTTCTATCATAATAATAGTGTATATTTTTATTATTATTGTCGTTGTTTGGGCAGTTACGTTTTAGATTCCGGTCGGATAGATGTTATTATTGTTGCGACGAATGGTTATAACGTTTGGTAATGCTTTAATACGCGTGCATATATGTCGTCTAGTCGAGTGCCACCTCGCCCGCAATTGTTTTATATCGCCGTGGAGTTCGTGCCGGTTGCTTTTTTTTTTCTTGACATTTCCTACACTTTGGTAGAAATCAAACTCGGATCGTAAAAATCTGCCTGTCGGTTTTATTGTGTCACGAATAGTACGAAACGCGATAAATAAAAGGTTATCACGACCTGTGCAGGAGCATAAATGCGCGGCGGCAGGTTTACACGGTGGAGTAGTGTTGCAGGGGAAGCACACACGAGGGGATACAATATAATAACACGGGGAAACTGCGTATTCGCTAGTGTGTGTGTGTTCGAGGTGAACGACGGGGTACAACGCTGTTGTTACGACCACATACCGGTGGTGGCAGATTACTATATAATGTGAGGCGACCGCGCGGAACTATAGTTTTGGATTACGTTTGACAATCAATCGTTTTTCATTTTTCCAAACTGCAATAATATTATTATCGACTGCCGTGTATTAGAAGGCGTACGCACAAAATCAACTGCGAAACGGTCAACACTTTTTACGGCGTAGTGCAATAACCACCTGGTCGACACAAACTTTTATAATGTTAAGGCTTCTAGTGTAAAATCGTATTTTTTACCCTATTCAAACCGAGCAATCGTTTGCTGTTGATGTTATTTGCAATGTGTCCAATTAAGTTTGCATGCTGTGAACTACATCTTACATCAATAATTTAAAACAAGGCGTGATCTTTGTAGTTCGCGGTCAACATTTTACCACTTGTTACAAAGCCAATGTATAGCCATCAAGTGTTTTGTTGCGTAATAGTTAGACAGTTTTTTTTTAGTCGTCAAACATATTCATATGATTTTTTATGAACAGAACTTCTAAAAATTGTCGATTTCTTCAATTAATATCTGTTGAATCATCTATAAATATCAAAGACTTTTATTTATAGCATAATGTCTGTCGCATGAATAAGTTGAACCTATTGACAATAAGGGATTTACGAGTGTTTTTTACTTACAAGTTATTGAATACTTTCTTAGTGAGAACAAATACATTAAATAATATGTTTAGACGGATCTTTTGTATTCATCTTATCTAACGCGATAAATCATATGATCTACTATTTGAAATTTTTACAATAAATTAGAACTAATGAGTTGTAACTTTAAATCCAAATTTTGTCATTGTAAATTTATTGCTTCAACTTCAGATTCGATAAATTATTTTATTTATTAATAACTTACTTATCTGTTTAAAAATTAGTTATTTGATACACTTTATTTGAACTTCTGAGATTTAGTATTGAAACTATTTACAAAAATTAATTAATTTTAACGACACACAAGTTTAAAAAAAAGGTTTTATTATCGAATAAATTATATAATAAATAATATTGATAATATGCTTAAAATAAAATAGTGTTATTGCTTACAAGACATTTTGTGTCCTTTTTCAAAAATGTGCTGATATAGAAGAATTATACATTTTTATTACTTGTTCCTGGGTCGTTGAATATTTTGTCATATTTTAGGTTGATTACTCTGTTACTACGCTAAAAAGAAAGTATCACTTAAAACATTTTATGGTGTATATTTCTTTTAAAATTATAATCATATATTTTTTCCCGTTACAGATTTTTACACTAATGATGAATGAATGCGAATAGCTTAAATTTTAGTAATATATGAATATATTAATACAATTATATTTATTGATCGTGTATAATATACAGATAGCGTATCGAGTGATCTTGTTTATAAATAGTAACATAAACAAAGACTTAAAGTAAAAAAACGTGTTTTTTCTATTACATTTTCTTAAATCGGTGACAGATAAATTATAAGCGATTTAACATTGAGATCATTGTATTACAGTGTTATACGTTTTCCTTCTAGTTGCTGTTGGTGTTGCACAATTCACTAATATTAATATAATTGTCATTATCGTTATTGCCAGCTCACGATAATTTTCAAGTGTTCTCTTGACACTTACCCCGCCAGTTTTTCGATTTAGGACCAATTAGCACTTCACAAGGATTTCGGGCTTATTTACATAACGATAAATTAACCAGAACAAAACGACCGAGGTATTATAAGAAATATATACATTTATTATTATTCGGTTCTCTCATTAGCATTTTCTGTTATAGACAAGTTCTGAATAATAGAAGTTGTATTTTCTACATGTTATAATTTTACCCGCATATGTTTCATACTCGAAAAGGTTTGAAAATTCTCTATGGATTTGTCACAAAAACGTATTGGGTTTTCTATGCTATAGAAAAAATATATATTTACTGTTTCCGACTTTAAGTTGTTATTTTATTTAGGTTGGTATTTTTTATTTTACTTTCATATACATGTATGCATGCTCATGTAAATAGTGTGGTTTAACAAAAACGTATTAAAAAATATTTTAGGCTGAAAGTAAACAGTGTACGCTGCCCGATATTACCGCAAAGCATGCGATTTCCCATTTGGCCGTTACATGTCCCAACAATGTTTTATTATAATTATTGTGCAGTTTTATATATATATATATATTTTTTAATTAAAACAGTAGTTTAATTTTTATTAGATTATTATAGGTAGCATTTTTTTTTTTTTTTTGTTCGGGCAATATCAGCGTTTTTTTAAACAGCAGAAACTTAGCATTCGAAAGAAAACTGGAAATCGTCGTTAAAATATTCATTGCGTTTTAATGATATACCACCACTGGTGGACGGTCTTAACGTTTTGAAAATTGAAATTCGACCGAGATAAGCGCGTTTTACTACTCTTCGTGCATACACAGTAATAATAATATAACGATGGCTTAAATTTACGATCGGAATTTAATTGTTTTCCATTACGAAATCGTTAATTCGCATGCAAACGTCGCAGTTCCACTTGATATGCGATATAAAAATATTGAATTTTTTTTACTGTGTGCACTCGTATCCCCCCCCCAACGGTTGCTCTTGTTAAAAACTATTATTGTGGTCGTCAACAGATCAACGAGAGCCTATCATCTCGCACAGGTAGAACTTCAGCGTACACATAAATGTATGATGTATTCAACAATAGTGTTTAATCACATTTAACGACAACACTGTCTATTACCGCGTCTGCCTAGTAATTCTGTATCGCATTGCTGGTGGTGAGAGAACTTTATTATAAGAAGTAAATAATTATTTAAGGAGAAACGGGTGCCATAAACGAGTGATAGATTGCACGTGTCTGTCTCATGTGTTTGTGCATTACAGTCGTCGGCAGATAACGGTGATGGTTTATGTAACTGCTTTTGACGTTTCGTTGTTTGTGTATATGTCTTGCGAATACATACATATATACAGTATTACATGTTATTATAGTAAGGATGTGCGTAAAACTTCACACCTTATTGATTGTCACACAACAATGATATATTACGAACAAACTGTGCCCGTTATCGCGTGAGATACGTACGACGTAGGTGTACATTCGATTCCTTAACAGTTTTATGTTTTCGAGGAGAGTTTCATATTATTGTTATTATTGTTGAACCGTGTCACCGCCTGAATTGAAAATAATCCTCTTTTGCACTCGTTTTTCTTACAAACGAATCGCATATCGTATAAACAACGGTTTGTCCTGATCTCGTAAATGTGTGCGTACTCCTTTGGATTTCACGTGTAGCCGGAAGTAAAATATAGAACCGTAGAAATTACCGGAACTCTGTTTATTACAATTTGCTATAGAGCTAAAAAGATTTCATCTGTGATTTAAAGCAAAAAAATCGCAGCTATCGGCGGGTTGGTGGACTATGATGGCAAATTCAAATGCCGGATACGTATCGCACAGACTTAAAATTAAAAATTGTCATAAGTAGAAACGTCTGTCAGTTTTACGCATATCGAATCATGAACGTTTCGTACAACGTGGGAACGTTTCTGTGATTTGATATGTGTGAAGATCACATACAATAATATTTTAATCTCTAAACAATAATCGTTTTTGCGAATGTGTCACGCCAATAGCTACTTATGTTCTTATCTTATCTAAACATCGACCCTCTACAGTATTAGTCAATGGTTTCGATATGAATCAGTCTCATAAAATGCACCAGTTAATACAATAACAATGACTATATAATATGTATTTGTCACGTACTACTGGTATGATTGTCATTATTTGATCAGGGATCGTTGCAAAATCCACTTTTCATTCTCTGTATTTTTTATTTCTGTCCATAAAATAGTTGTGGTCGTGTCTCACTATGTACTGTGAATACATATATATATATTTGCATAAAATTCAAAATATCCTAATTCAATCTGGGGTTTTAATTCTATTATTATTATGTTAATTTACAATATTAACCAACAAACTAAATAGTGTTTATTCATTCGTTTATGTAACTTGTATCAAAAATATAATATTTG